GATTCCAATGCCTGCTTTGACCTCATCCCAAGCAAAGTATATTTTGTGCCAAAGTATTGGTCCACAGCTTTGCTACATTTATTTAAGCTTTACAACCAACCTGATATATGTTACCTTAACTTTAGCTATAGCTCCAAATACGTCTTCGTTCGGCATACCTGGCACCAAGTGAAAGCTTAGTACTTGCCCTGCCAGCAGTCACTGCAATAGTACCTCTAACTCTTAACTTCCAGCCCAAATCAAACTCGATAAAACTATATTTTCAATCCAGTCATCCCCCATCGTTGTTCTAACTTCAAACCTTACAATGCACACATTTAAAAATAATTGCCATATCTGCCCTGATATAAACGTCGAAGTTCTATTTTAAGAATTCTAAATAGTCGAGAATATGCGAGGCCCAGGTAACTGGGTAGAAGAATTTAAGACGTTTAGACGTCCTGGTCCCAGAGAACGTCTTAACTTCTTCTATTTCAAGAATTGTTGACTAAAAGTCAAAAATATATTTTTGGCTAGGAGCGATAACTTAAGTAGGGTTGTAAAATGAAGTTTCGTGCAACATCAGGATAGCGGCTTTTGAGGAGTCATTTTCGGCAGCCTGCGAAAAATACACTGAAAAAATGACTGCTTCTGCTGTCTGAACTGTTTTTCATTTACTTTCGATGTCCTTTGAATTCAAATCTATTTGACCAAAATCGTGTAAGATATTTCTCCGTTTTTACTCATTAGAAAGAGGTACGGCCTCTTCAAATTTTGAAACGGAGGAAAGGATTTTCGATTTTAACACGTTTCTAAATACTTGAACTATTTTAAGGTTGAAAAATGTCCATTTATTTATCCTCGCACCTGTGTATTTATTGAAGCTATTCGTAAGGGATAAAACATCGTTCATATCCACTACTAAATTTTATGATGCTGATATGACATCTTGTTAATATCGCATACACATTTATGATTTTCTTTACGGGCTTGTACGTTGGAAACCTGGAATGAAAGACCAACAACAGGTCCTGTCCAATATTTTGCGAGAATCTAAGTGTTCCTTTAAACGTAAAAGTACCCTTTACTTAAATATAAGATTTCAAGCAGCCGTTGTCTTCGACCGAATGTGAACAGGAAAAAAACTTTGGCGCATGCTTTCTATGTAAGTATATTTAAATTAATAAGAGCACTGAAAATCAATAAGGAAAATGGGTTCTACGTAAGTAGCCCACTTTGCAGAACCTAGTATATCTAGACCGCCGAGAAGCGTATTCAGAGGCCTGTATCCGAACGTAACTTAAACATATCTTAGTGAATTATAATGAAAACTAATTACTCATATGGCCTGATTTGTCTAGTCGTCTTCAATCGAAAATATGTTTAAAATTTTTTTAAAATTTTATGAGACATTTCATCTACAGTAAACATTCCAAAGTATTTAAACCTCCCTCCGAACGTCCACAGCCGACTAGTCAAAGAAAAAATTAGGAATTACTTCCAAAATATTGCCCCTTAAATATATACACCTTCTGCCTTCGAAAACTTTCGACACCAATGACCAGGCATATATTCATCGGAAGACAAAAGATATCATTTTGCTGAATGCTTGGCTTGTTGTAGCTAAGATGGTTCAACATTGGACAACCGATTTTAAGATGACGCCGCACGTTCTATTTATGGTTGAGTCTTAAGTTTATTCTATACCCACTTGCTCTTACTATCTTATAGATGAATGGCCCTTAGTTTAAACGCAGGAACAGCATAAACAGACCTAGTGACGAACAACTTCTCCCTTGAAGCCGCTTATTTACGATCGATTTTCTGTTTCTCCCCGGAAGTTTCTGCCATGCGGCTATTAATAGACCTTTTCCTTCCTTTGGTACAATGCAACCCGGCTAAACGGCGAGTCCCACGACTTGGCTTTCTAGTTCTAAAAAGTGCAGTGTTATTAAGAAACTCTGTTTATACTCAATGATGAAGGCGCTATCGTGCGGAACCATCGTCCCATACAACCCCACTTTGACAAACCTTGGGAAGGTAACCTATGCTTTCAGGACGTACGCGTTTCCCTTCAGCCGCAAAACTCGTTTTCTAATGGGTTTTTGATTATCAGTTTCATAACTGTATTGAGAGGACAAGGGGACTGTTCGAATTCGAAGTAACATCATTTTCTGCAGTCAGATCATTTGCAGTCAATCCTACTTCACTTCATTGTCTTTTTCTTATGCCTTCTTAGGCCCCCTAATATCACCTTTAAAGTATTATTCACTGTCCCAGCAACTAAGAATTAGTCCCTAATGGTACGCATTTGGTCTTCGACCATACATAGTCCTGTGGAACCATCATTTTGAAAATTATTGAAGTTTTTAACCGCCATCTCTGTGTGTTATGGTGAAAGATTGATTGAGTGCTGACTTGAGAATAGAATTACGCCTTTCAGTCAATTCATGCCTTAATCTGTGTCCCAAATTTTGACTTTTGAACAGTTTCAAGACCAGTTTACATAATTTGGCCGGTAAAGCAAGGGAAGTAGTGGTTGACGTAAAAATAATTGCTGAAGTAT